CTCACTCCACCATCAACCCCCTATTTTACCCTGCCACACTCATCCCAGCTTCAACCCTTCATTTTTTCGTTGCACTCATTTAACCATCAACCCTCTATTTTACCCTGTCAGACTCATCCCAGCTTCAACCCTTCATTTTTTTCCTTCCACTCACTCCACCATCAACCCCCTATCTTACCCTGCCACACTCATCCCAGCTTCAACCCTTCATTTTTTTCCTTCCACTCATTTAACCATCAACCCTCTATTTTACCCTGCCAGACTCATCCCACCGTCAACCCTCATTTTCCCCATGACTCATTCCACCCTCAACCATCATTTTTGCCGAATGAATTCATCCCCCCATGAATCTCCTTTGCACCCTGGCACACTCTTCCCACCCTCAATCCCTAATTTTTTTCCAATGCACTCAGTTCACCCTTCCATTTTTATTTTTTTCCAATACACTGATTGGACTCCGCAACTCCGTCTAATCATTCCGTGAATCAATCTACATACACCTGTCGACCCTTTTTCACCCCATCGGCCATCTTGAAAGAGGGTTAGTGAGGGTGGAAAACAAAGGTTAAAATTTATAGGTACAGATCGACTCAGAATCACCCCCTGAGTCGATTTATCAATCCCTGTAAAGACTTTTTTTACTCCATCGGTCATTTTGAAGAAGGGTTAATGAGAGTGAAAAAAAAGGTCGAAATTTATAGGTACAGATCGACTCAGAAACACCCCCTGAGTCGATTTACCCACCCCAGTAAAGACTTTTTTTCTCATCCCATCGGTCATTTTGAGGGAGGGTTACTGAGGGTGAAAAAAAAATGTCGAAATTTATAGGTACAGATCAACTCAGAATCATCCCCTGAGTCGATTTACCTACCCCTGTGGAGACATTTTTTTTTATCCCATCGGTCATCTCAAAGGAGGTTTAGTGATGGTCGAAAAAAGTGGATTCCACATTTGGATACATCTCCCCCCCGCCCCCTCACCCTCCCCTCCACTCTGTTGAGATATAAATCTCTCATGCCACGTAGTGGCTTAGCGAATCAAAAAATTTCCCGGCGCCCTCGAAAGCCCCACTGTCCAATGTTTCCCTGGTTTCCAGCGATTGCCGTAGTTACCGACAAGGCATCGCTTGAGATCAAGGTTCGGGTCTTGACCGCGAATTAGGAGGCCGTAAAATCGCCTGTCGAGAAAAAGTTCCCGCCATCCGGGGCTTATCATCTGTCGGCTAAGGTCACATCAATGCCTTATTCGCCAAACAAACGTTCAACCAATTGGAAATGCGACATAAATAAAGCCTGCGCTCCACCTGGCGGAAGCAAAATTTCTCCCCTGATTCAGTCGTGCTCTACATGCATACATACAATTATTGCATTTATGTATAGAGTATTGAGAGCACCTATAGAATACTCTCCTAAATCTGCAAAATATTACCACAATAATATTATTAATATTAAAATATTAATCTATATCAATTTAAACAGATTAAAGCAATGCTTGCACTACAGGAATACGGAAGTAGTGATGATAATAGTGGCCCTGAGGATGAGAGTCCATCAACTCTTAGAAACAGAATAGAGGTTAAAAACGTAAATAAATCACATAAAAATCTTTCCCAGGAGCAATTTACACCAATCACGTCAGCTCCGACGCTTTCCCTTGAAGTTTGTGCTGCACCTGATGTCGTGCCCACTGTAAGAACCTTATCATTAATACTCGATTGATGTAAATAAACCAATGAATTCCTTTTAATTTTCAATGTTTAATTGTCTGAAAAATACTTGCAGGGTACAGAACTGTGTGTCCACCACGTGGATCCAACAGCAGTGGAGATAAAACACAATCCAAAATTTGAGGAACTATTTGCCCCTGATGTTGGTCCTGAGAATCCGTTCAGGACTCAACAGCAACGTCCTACTAAAAATATATTATCAGGATTTGTGGAGAAGGCGCACATTAGTGAATTCCAATTTGAAAATCAGAGGAGAACATTTCAAAGCTATGGTAATTGAAAATATTAATTAACATTGATAATTGTTGAATATGAAAGTGGTATATTGTGATTTCTGTGCAGGCTATGCTCTAGATCCAACTGTGGACGGAACTTGTGAAGAAGGAAAAACAATAATAGGAGCAACAGAAGTGGCAGAAGGTACAGGTGGAAAGACCGTATTTGAGAATACAGGACTTCGTGAAGCGGACAAGAGAAAACGACGTAGGAATAACAATCCAGATGATATCGAGGGTTTTCTTGGGCCCTGGGGTGGATACATCGATGAACAGAGGATCTCCAAACCGACTGACGAAGAGGCTTCTGAGCTCGAGGAAATCCTAGCTAAACGCAATAAACGAGGAAAGCAGGTAGAGGAGAAACCCCTGGAGGAGAAGACTGTTCTGCACATCAAAGATGCAGTGGATTATCAAGGCCGATCGTTCCTCCATCCTCCTCAGGATGTCGGTGTAAATTTACGATCAGATTCCCCGCCAGAGCGATGTTTCCTCCCAAAAGCACAGGTCCACACGTGGGAGGGACACACCAAAGGCATCTCTCAGATCAAATGGTTCCCCAAGACTGCGCATTTGCTGTTATCATGCAGTATGGACTGTCGTGTCAAACTCTGGGAGGTCTACAAGGAGAGAAGATGTGTTAGAACGTATTATGGACATCGACAGGCTGTTCGTGACATCAGCTTTGATAATGATGGGAAAAGATTTTTGTCCGCTGGTTATGATCGATATGTCAAACTCTGGGACACTGAGACTGGTGCCTGCATCTCCAGATTTACTAGTCGAAAGATTCCTTATTGCGTTAAATTCAATCCTGACTCTGATAAACAGCATCTGTTTGTCGCTGGCACCAGTGACAAGAAAATTATCTGCTGGGACGTGAGATCTGGGGAAATTACTCAAGAGTATGATCGACATCTAGGAGCTGTCAACTCCATAACTTTTGTGGATGAGAACAGAAGATTTGTCACAACTTCGGATGACAAAAGTCTCAGGGTCTGGGAATGGGATATCCCTGTCGATATGAAATACATCGCTGATCCCACGATGCACTCGATGCCAGCTGTGACACCATCACCAAACCAGAAGTGGTTGGCTTGTCAGAGTATGGACAACAAAATTGTCATCTTCTCAGCATTGAATCGATTTAAGATGAATAGGAAAAAGACATTCACTGGGCATATGGTGGCTGGTTATGCCTGTGGTTTGGATTTCTCACCAGACATGAGTTATTTGGTTTCTGGAGATGCAGATGGCAAGGCCTACTGCTGGGACTGGAAAACAACTAAACTTTATAAAAAATGGAAGGCCCATGATGGGGTTTGTATTTCCGTCTTGTGGCATCCACATGAACCTTCCAGACTCGCTACTGCTGGCTGGGATGGAAAAATCAAGTATTGGGATTAGGTTTTTAACTCTCATCATCCTGTATATAATTTCTTTTTTGTAGATAACGTGTGAAAACCGGATAGCAAAATATAAGAGAAAATATTTTCTATTGATATATTTGTGTGAAACTTGACGATTTTGTAAATTAATTTAAATACCCCATGAGAAATTTCGCGCATGTGCAGATAATTATTCTGGAGGGAAGGTGTGGGGCGCGAAAATCAATAACTCACTTTGTCTCTACTATATATTACTGTGTATTTACTGAAATTCACTCCTCAGTTCGTTGATAATATGCGACATTAATCCTAATGAGGAAATTCAAGATGACATTGCAAAGAAAATTTGAACCTCTCGAAAAACGATGATTTATGAAATCACAAGCTCGTACGAATAATAAATAAAAGTGACAGGTGAGTACAAATAGTTATTGATAATAATCCTGTAGGAGGGAATGATTTCTCGAATTTGTTAAACTAACTAGATTTTGACTGAAAATTAAACATCGAAAATGGAGGCTCCAGGACTGGGTTATTCCTATCACTTACCCTCTGGGGGATGGAACTTGAAAGTCAGGAATGTCCTGACCCAGTTCAGCGACTTGTTCAGCGAATTCAACAAGTACATTGCCCCAGCATATCACCATGACAGATGTGAAAGGTAAAGTTATTTGCAGAATTCGTCGATTGTTTTATTTAGTGTTCGATTGATCCACAGATCAGTGCCAATGCGACTTTATTCTATGCACAAACGCGAGTTCGTTATGGTGTTTGTTGCGTTTTTCGCTTGCTTCGGGCTAGCTGTATTCATTGGACTTGCTGGACCTCCAATTACTGCAACTACTGAGCACAGAGTCCGATTAAATGGCAGTGATATGGCCACTGGACCATTTATCATGAAAACTCCAGCTCTGTCGACATACAGCCAGCAATTGTGGGTAATTGCCAAATTCTCAACAGCAAATAATGACGGTGATTAACCCATCTCCAAATTATCATTAACATTTATCTATATTTCATGGAAAAAATATGATCAGCACTGCAAAAAATTAATTTATCTAATTACTTTTTTTTAATCCCAGACGAAAGATACGACAAAACTTTTCAAGTTAGTGTTTCGATCGATGGAATTAGTCCTGAGGATCATCTCATATCGATTTTATCATCAGGATCTGGTCACAACAGGTAATGATGGTAAATCAATTAATTATGCAATCGAATAATTCAAAAAGTCGTGCGATTTTCAGGACGAGACATTTGAGATGTGAACGTCAATCTTGCGAAGAACTCGTTGTCGCTCACTTGGGCTCTTTAGATTACACTCATTACATGATTACTGTTCGTTTTTACGGACTCGAGGGCTTCCATCAACGTTACACTATCCGAGACCTCATGTTCTACGTCAGTAAGCATTATAATAAATCACAGAAATGATACATCTCCTTTGCGAGTCTTTATAGTTTTTCTTTCAACAGTTTAAAAACTACAATCCTGCCTTTACTCAAATTGAAATCTGGTTCAGGCTAATTTTTCTACTGGCCGCTTTTATTATGACGGTAATTATTATAAATTATCATTTATTTACTGACAATTATTCATAATTATTTATTTTTTCAGTGCTGGTTCGGCCATTCCTTGAGGAAATATCCTGTGACAGACTGGTCCATTGAGCAAAAATGGATTTCCATATTACTTCCGTTATTAATACTCTACAACAGTAATTATTTATTAAATGATCGTACAATAATTTAAGGAGTGCTTTAAATTCGTGTAAATTTCAGATCCATTATTTCCAATGATTTTCTTACTCAACTCCTGGGTACCCGGAATGCTGGATGCCATAATGCAGACCACATTTCTCTGTGCCATCCTCATGTTCTGGTTGTGCGTTTATCATGGACTTCGCCAGGCAATTTCACTAATTTTTTACTAAATTTTCCATTGATAATGGGCGAATATGTGGAGTTTAATTGATTTTTTTCAAACCTTTCAGAATGAACGAAAAATTGCCACATTTTATCTCCCGAAATTTTTGGTGATTGGATGTCTCTGGGTGGCAGCTCTCATCCTCGCTACTTGGCTCCGGTGCACAGAACTCGAAGATCCGACGTATAATTATGTTCTGGATACATCTAATTACTATGTAATATTCCCATCAATATTACCATTACTTAAGGAATCAATGGAATATCAACTTTTCAGGGATTGAAGGTGTTTTTCTTCACTGTCGGTGGAATATACATCGCATACCTCGCACTTTTAATGCTCCGCGCGTACAGTGAATTGCGTTCCATGCCCTATTTTGGTGAGAATTATTCCGAGCATTTGACGCCATTGGAGATTTAATTTATTTATTACTTGCAGATCTTCGATTACGATTTTTGACACTTCTGGCGGTAATTGTAGCTGGAGTTTGTGCTCTCGTTACAGCCAGACAATTTGGTGCTGGAGTTCTTGAAGACAGCTTTGCATCACGATTGTCTACGTATTACAGGACATCAGCACAATTTATGGCACTCTATGGACTTTTGAATTTTTATCTTTACACCATGGCCTACGTGTATTCGCCAGGAATTCAACAGGTTTATGGACAACGTGAGGGCCCATTTTACGAATTCAGACTTGTGCTCCTAATTATCGAGATATTGGCTAAAAACTGGTATTACAAAACATGTAGTTATTGTTATGAGAACTCTTGGATTTTACAGATTCATCGATAACTAAAGATAATCCTGCATTTTCTATGATCAACGATTCAGACGAGGAAGTAATTTATGGGTCTGATGAGGACAGCAGGAGACCACTTACACGAGCTCCACGAAATGCTGATGATAGTGATTAATTACTACTGAAAATCAACAGTATTTTCATTTTCGGCAGCTGTCAATAATTTTCGAAAGAAATTAAGAGAATTTCGTGCTAAATGAACAATCGACAATTAACAAATCATGTGTTGATACTGATACTCGTTTCTTTCTTTTTTTTCTTACTATTTTTCTGTTGTACAATAGTAAGCGTAAGTTTTGACTTCCCTGGGTACCCCCACTTCACGTAGTTATCACTTGTAACCATGTCTTCTACTCCTAAAATCGAAGGAAAAACTTATGCTGACTTCAGTGTATGTGTCGACATTAACTGATTATTGTATAAATAAAGGGATAATGAGGTGGAGAATAAATTTGTGTATGAGATATTAAAAATGGCTACCTTGGAATTTCGAATTTCTGCCGCTATTACTAGGTGGAAAATTTCATTGGTCAGTCCCTCTCTTCCTTTTTTTTATAACGGCTTCCAAAATCCGCGGCGTTCTTTATGTTTTTACATGCATTGTGCCGGCTTGAGCTTGCGTCCATTAACCGTTGGCTATAAAATACTTATTGAGAGTTGTTCTCGTCCAATCCATCAGACAAGCGCCTTTAACTTCGCCAGCTGTAAGTTGAATGAAATGATACAACAGAGACAACCAATAAATACTTCAGATGATTCTAACCTCAAGCAACCACGAGTTTATTCCAATTATTCAATTATTATTTGCAGACAGCAGTGATAAATACCAGAATTTGTGGAGTGAAGATTTTGATTCGATCTATTGTGCTAAGATGCCGAAGAGCAAAGAGAGTCATTCGTCTTCTGACGACAGCAGTCACAGTAGCAGTGAGGTATTTATTGCGAATAAATATCAATTACGCGGAAATTCATTTTTTTCATTCGCAGGATGAAAAGCCAAAGAAGAAGCAAAAGGTAGAAAAATCCAGGCATGAGAGTAAGGAAGAGAAATCAGAATCCAGCAAGAAGACAAAGACATCAAGCAAGGCCAGGGAGGAAGAGCCCTGCTGGGAACTTGGGAACAAGAAGAGACTGAAGGTTCGAACCTTCAAAGGAAAACTTTACGTGGACATTCGAGAGTACTATGGAAATGACGCTGGCGAGTTGAATCCATCCAAGAAAGGTACCTCAATTGATGATTCTTCTTAAATTAAAACAACTACAGAATTAATATTCAACAATTTATTCACATTCCAGGAATATCACTGCAAGCTCCACAATTCGAGGAGCTCATGAAGATCATCCATGAGGTGGAGGACGTCGTCAAGATAAAATTGGGAAACTAATGAATATGTCTTTTACTTCACTTACATTTTGTTTTTCCATTATTCTCCATTTTTTTACAATTACTTTTCCAGATGTAATAAAAATTATTCACATGATTTGTTGAATAAAAAAATTGTACTTATTGCTATAGAATTGAGTTTTATTGCTCTCGTACAAAAAATACTAATAATTAAATGATTATTCATTACACGTGTTATTTGCATAACGTAAATAACGTAAATAGTCAGTTACCTATACCGAAATACGTAAATTTAACGATTACATCGTCTCTGTAAAATACACAACGTGACCCAGCAGGTTGCCACTTAGTCAGTCTTCAACTACCATTAGGCAATAATACTTGAGATTTTCTTAAAAATTAATTAATGAATTTCAACATGTGTTAAGATTATTCTCAAAAACAAATGCTCAGCATTTTTATCTCTTCGTTATGATAACAGTAAAATGAAATTACCATTTTTGAGGGAAATATTGTTAATTTTTCGATCGACACTATTACATTTTCCCTCGGCCCATTATCTTGGAGGTCGTTCTAGGATTCTGATCCATGGACTTTATTGAGTAATTTATTGATATCTAGTCCACTGAGGAGAGCTGTGGGATTACTTGTTCGGGGTTTTTTCTCGGCGCAATAATCATTGGACTCTGATTGTTTCCTCTTCCTAGGCTTCACAACTTTATCCTCTGATTTTTCCTTCGCTGGGGCCTTTACCCTCTCTGGTATTTTCTCCTCGCTGTTGACAGGAGATGATGTAGCCAGTGGCTTACTCTTGATTTCAGAAACCACTGACTCGCTGTTCTTTAACTGCATCCTTCCTTTTCTTCGAGAGGTAACTGTAGTGACAGGTTTTTCTTTGAGTGCCCTGGGCTTCAAAGGACGAACCCTCCTTTTCCTGGTGGGTGTTATCGTAAATATCTCTTCGTAGGGGATGCACGTCATCATCTTCCAAACAAATTCTCCCGAGAGAGTGTACGCCTGTGCCTTTATCTCTGGAAGATCAAAGGTGGAGATTTTTTTTCTTCGTTTTTTTCTCGGTTGAGTTTCGTCGTAAACGAATGAAATTTCGATATGCTGGTACGTCCCAACATCCAGTTCTATTCCCTCTGAACTTTTGTTCGTAGGAACCAATTCAAGACTCTCAAGAACACCAGGAAGGTTCCCAGACTCTACAGCTTGCTGTTCCAAATCTTCTACATTTTCTTTTCCGATCAGTAAGTTTTTGTATTTCGATTTTATTGGTTTTCCATCTGTGTTCTCTTCATCGCTGAACAAATCTCTCTTCACCAGGTCCACTTTAGATTTTACCTTTACGCACTTTTCTTTTCCCTCAGCAATCACATCTTTCTCATTATTATTTTCCATCTCTAATTCCTCTAGATCATACGATATTGTGGGATTAGTTTCATCGAGCGGTGGAGAATCGCCTGAGAGAATATTGATAGTTGGCAAGATCATAATTTGAAGATTTCCCTCGTCATTGGCACTGGAATCTCTGGAGGATTGTGTCTTTCTCGGCTCTTCGATCTTCTGGGAAGTTGTGGCTTCTGTTGGCTCACTTAATCCTCTCTTCGCTCTTTTCTCAGCATTTCTCAAGGACTTCCTCAGGGGTTGTGTGCCTGTTTTCTTCGCTGAAGCTTCGGCTTTTTCTCGTTTCAATTTCGTTGTGGGAACGGATTCCTGATTTTTCGCAATAGTTTCCCTCGACCGACTGCTTCTCGTTCTCCCCGAATTATTATCTGACTTTATCTTATTAATCATTCGAAGCCGTTTCTCATCGAGTTCCCTCGCCAGTTTGGCGTCCGTTAATGCCTTGGTGGCATTTTCCAATTCTTCGTCAGAGATTTTTCTCAGCTTCACTGTTGGTGATAGATTCTGCACAGAGATGATTCTCGGTTTCCCCTGTGATCCACACAATCGAGGCTTCCAATCTTCTTTAATAATTGCCGATATTTTTGAATTTAAATTCGTCAGATTCTCGATGCCAGCTTTTGAACTGCTGGGAGTCTCTGAAATATCAGCCTCTGCTAGAAGTGTCTCATCTTTAGCTGGAGTTTCGAGGTCGACTCCTTTTAGATTCTCTTCAGTCTTGGTAATAGGAATGACCTTCAATGGAGATTTTTCATTCATTTTTTGCGAATCAATATTCTCCTTAGACGAGTCCTCTGCTGATGGCTGAATCTCCATTGGTTCATCAGCTAAAACTTCTACAGGACATTCCTCAGGAAAATTTGTAACAGCAGCTGTAGTCGAAGTACAGAGAGGCGCAGTAGTATGTACTGTAGCTGTAGTAGTAGAAGTATTTCTCTCAATCTTATGAGATGCTTTCTTAGATTTTCTGCTCGTGGACATCTTCGATGAAGTGTTGGTTGTATCACAACAGGAGCAAGACGAAGTTGAACCTGATGATGACGACGAGGACGTGTCACTATCACTATCTGATGACTCATCAGCAGTTCCACTGCTTTCCAGACTCCTCGACGATTTATTGGTGCTGCTGATTTCATTCACACCTTGTTGTACTTGGCTTTCATTTCTCGCGAGCTTCAGTTCCTTGATTGCTTGTGCCTTTGGTAAATTCCCCTTGATCACTTCAAACTGGGTAATCTCTAATTGTGTCGTTGATGCTTGAAAGTCGATCTTCGTAGTTCCTGGTTCTTCTGCTATTTTTATAGGGTCTGGTATTTTATTAGTCTTCGTAGCTTCCTTCAATTCAGCACTGGGCTGATAATACCTAGAGCTGAAATCCTTTTTGGTGTCATTCATTGTGCTATCGTTTGATTGTTTTGGGGTTAAATTAATACTAGGAGTTGGTGGGAATTCTGGAGTTGATACGAAGGTCTGGATTTTATCAGAGCCTTCGCTGATTTGGGCGAAGGGAGTTGTCATGTTGCTGCTGGGACTAAGGAGCCGAGGAGTCGGTGGCACAAGATTAGGATCAAATTTGCGAGGGGTCTCCAGATCTAGCAGAGTCGATGCATCAATACTCCCAAATTCTAATGATTTTTCAAGTGTCTCACCAGGAGTTCGAGGCTTTTCTCTCTTGATCTCGACTTTTGATACAGTCGTCGTCAGGGTCTTCAATTTAGCATACTTCTTGGTGATTCCTTGCTCAGTCACAACCTGGCAAATCTTCTTCAGGGATTCTGTCGCCTTCTTCGAAATTTCAACATTCATCTCTTCGTATTTCTTATCGACTAGCTTAACCGTATTTTCAACGCCTATTCCATCGGCTTTAACTATGTTTGGAAAATCTCCAGGAGTTTCATTCATCGCAATCTGCTCATTCAATTCTGCTTCAGCTGAGATTCCAGCGGCTTCATCGTCACTGATATTAGCAATAGCTCCTCTTTCTTCAGCATCTTTTATTTTTCTGAGATTTGTTTGTCTCCTCACCGATCTCGCCCTTTTCTTCGGTAAATCTCCTCTTCCTTTGACCTTCAACGGCTGAACGTCAGCTGCAACTTTCAACCTCAAATCAGAATCCCAGGGTCTTTTCATCTGTGATATAGCGGAATCTGAATTGACAAACGTGTTTTTCTCGGGCGATGGGCAACTTGACTGAGAGGATCCCTCGATGATCATTCCAACACCAGAAATTTTATCCCATCCCCCGATCAATTTTGGCGCTGGACTTCTAGTGGCAATTGGTATCTTCTCTTTACAGAGTTTACTCGGAGTTTTGATCTTCATCTGTGGAGGAGCGACATTCTCAAATGGTGGAGATTTGAAGAGACTTGTTCTGCATGCCTTTGACAGCCCTTTGGCGGATTTTGGAGAAAACGCACAGCTCTTGTCAGCATCACTCATTCTCCTGCTGGTATTGATGGCTTTTGTTGGGGTATTGAAGTCAAGTGCTCGAATGTGACTGCTTCGACGCCTTGGTGTGGATAGACTCAATCTGTGATTCCTTGATCTACTTTTCATGATAGATCTAGGAGTTCTCTTAGTTAAGATATCAGAGTTTGATTGAGCGGTCAATCTCTTTCCCTCTTTATTCAGTTCTCCAGCTCCAGGTGGATTTGATTCCATCGATTGCGATTGTGATGATGACGAAGATGAAGACGATGATGATGACGCTGGTTTCTTATGGAGCTTTAAAAATGGAGACAATCCTGTTCCAGTGAGACTGATAGACTCATCTAATTGGACTGATGGAAGATCTGCTTGGACTACAGCTTCACCACTCTCAGGCCCATAAAGAGTAATGGATTCATTTGAACCAGATGGTTTTGGAAGAATTTGAAGTTCGTTGGAGTGTTGAGGATTTGTTACGATTGGTTCTGGGTCTCTGAGGAATTGAAGATTCCCAGGAGCTGCTTCAGGAGCGTCTTTCGGTCTTGCTACATTGACAGTTCTCAAATATAGGGTCGGATCAAACGGTGCAACCATTCCCCCCTTTGGCATTATCGGCACAAATTGAGACGTGGGCCTCATGACTGAAACCTTCATACTGTCAATCTCCTCCTGAGAACAGACAATCAATGTTGGCACTGGTACAAGCTCATTCTCAGGAACATGTTTCTCGGGAGTCAGAGGTTTTCTCTCCCGTTTAGGTTTTGAAACTCTCTTTCTCTTGGATTTTACATCTAGCTGGTGGTTGTTACTCTTCATGGAGACTTCAGTCTCTCCACCAACAACTGGAAGTGACAAAACTCCTTGAATTTGAGTTTGTGGAATAGGTTTATTTCGATCTAACTCCTTCGACGTGTTATTAACATTGATGATGCTGAGAATTGCTTCAGCATTCACATCATCCAGGGCTGCAAGATCCTTTTCAGCTGGGATTTGAACTGATTTCAATGAAACAGAGTTTCTAACAAACAAATGAGTATTTTCCCCTGGAGCATTTTCAAAACACGATTTCTCTTGACTTTTCTCAGCTGATATTTCCACGGGGCCGGCACCCTTGACGCTGTTGATAATTACTTCCCCTGGAGGGGCTTCCTGGGCTAATTTCTCTGAAATTCCCACTGGACTCGGAGCTCCGTCCTCGTCAGGACTCATCTCTCCCTCTAGACCCTCTCCTATCGTTTCCAGGAGAAATTGCTCAAATACGGGATCTGTCTCAGTTTCAATGACAATGGACTTGATGGCATGATCTAGCTCTCTCATTATCGAAGTATTGCATTCACCCGAAGTGCTCTCAGAAAATGAAGCCTCTGCTGGAATGAGAGTTCTGTTGATGGTTTGTGCTATCCTCTCCTGTAATTCGGTGCGATTCAAGAGTTCTTTTGTGAGTAAACTCAAATTTTCAACAGGGCCATCGACCAGGTCAACAGAATTGTCATATCCCTTACAGGGGGCTGTCTGGACTTCAGTATTGGTAAAGAACATCAACTCCTTTGTGTCTGTTCCAGTTTCACAGGTCTGATTCGAGACTACCGATTCCAACTGCCTCTCTGGATCGTCAGCCCCAGAGAGTCTCTCCGGGTTGTCACTAGTATTAGGAAGTAGAGAGGGTGGAGGAGGCTCTGTCGATGTTGATGTTAAGGAGCACTGAACACGCCGATCATCCTCTGGAGCAACTCCTGCTTCTTTGAGCGAGTTCTGATGCCCTGGCAGCTGCTCCAGGGATGTGCTTTCAACAGTGTCACACGGCTGATGAAGACTTGTCTCTGATCTTCCATGAAAAGAGCAATTTGAGATACTTTTCGATCGATCACGATCCACAGGGCCACTGTGACGACGTTTTCTCATGCTGCTGGAGATTATTGGTGATGCACTAGACACCTGCGATGTATTCTGCGTTGGAACGTTTATGTTTACAACGAATCTCTGACCTCTAGAGCCATCCATCAGGAATCGTAATTGCTCAAGAATATCTCCTGACGTCTTCAAAGACTCAAGCCCTTCCATTTTGCTCAGTCTTTCTTGTACCAATGCATGAATTGCACAGTATTTGTCCAATAAGGTCATCAGAGTCACACCATTAACTTTTCTTGTGAATTTTCCTCCTTTCCGAACTACATTGTGGCATTCACGAAGTAATGGCGAGCTCTCCAGAAACATTTTTGCCACTGCCTGGCAGTTCTCTTCCTCCAAGTAACCTGCAAAACATCAAATTTATGTTCTCGGTATTTATGAAGAGAATTAATCACAATTAAAAGTCTCTGAAAATCTATAATTAAGGAATTTCAGATTATAATTTCGAAAATTATTTTTGACAGAAAGAAAAAACAATGGCAAGTATTAGTTTTTTACCGAGAATCAGTCGAGCTATTTCTGATGGCAATAATGCTTCCATTATTACTGGCTTTTGCTTTTAACGTCAAAACAATTTTGTTAAAACACTTATGGTTAATAAATCAATGAGAATGAAGAAACAAAAAACAGCTAAAAGAGTAGAGACTCAATGTCCAACCACTTTATATTAGTGACGCCTCAATTGAAATATATTTTTGGATTTTTTCGAGTGTTTCACATTTTGCACGAGGGGTCTCTCTGTTTACGATACAATTGTTATGGAATTATTATTATTGAAAATATGGCACATTAGTTAGGAAAGTGTGGATTAACTTTTTCCGTTGAGCAGCCAATAACTTATAACATTATTGTATAATAGAGATAACATGATCCCATCTGTTTTTAAAAATACAAATTCATAATATTAACGTAACATCGTGAAGTGAGGTATGAAAATTGAAATTTAACCGCACCACAGACACAGAGATTATAGGGGAGATTGTTAGGGCTTATGGAAAGTCGAAAACAAGAATTTTCCTGTGGCGGCTACGGAACTACGCCAAAACAGTCCGTACCTGTAAGTAAAACAGGTCGCGAGTCCGAGAGCAGAGATTATAGGGAAGATTGCTAACGCCAATGGCGAGGCTTCAACCGCGAAATTGTCTCGCCGCCCTAGCCGAACTAATTTTGCGAGTGTACCTGTGAATCAAACAGGTCGCGAGGACAAGAGTGTCGGTAATTTTCGGAGGGCGTGGGTATAGATAACGCAGAGCGGGAGCCGGAGAGTATCGATAATTCGGAAAGACCAGCAAACGCGAGATTGTCGATAATTCGAGGAAATCGTGACAAAAGAAAACATCCCATATCGAGCGGAGTGGGGGTATGAT